AGCCAGGCATGGCACATACCTGTAGTCCTAGCTACTCAGGAGTCTAAGGTTAGAGGATTACTTGAGCCCAGGAATTCAACATTTCGGTGAGCCATGATCATGCTACAGCACTACAGCATGGCAACAGAGTGAGGCCCTGTCTCTTAAAAAGGTGGGGAGCGAGGCAGGTGGCTAATGGAGAAATCAGACCCCCCATTTCAGGATATAGCAAAATAAAGAACCAGGAGCAAAACTGGCCCGCACATTCCAAGTGGACATACGCTGGGGGAGGGTGTGGCCTCAGGGTTTGTGCTGATATAATCTCTGAGTTTCAAAAGTCTTATCTCCTTTGTGATTTGAACTTGCTGAAGTACTGCTAGTGCTAAATTGAATGGAAAAAAAGTTTATAATGGTAGTTTAACTAAAGATGGTGGTCTAGTCTTGCCTCTCCACAAGAAGAGAGCCTCCATTTATTTTCCTGAAAACTGTTTCCTACTTGGCCAGGAGACTTAGTGAAGATATGTCAACTAGAACATTCTAGAGGTTCTCAATTTGAAATCTCTATTTATATTCTATATTCACTTTATCTTAGTGGTAGTAGATCAAGAAAACTTTCCCTCTTGACTTTGTTAGTAAAAAATGTGGTGGGCCTTAATGTTTGTTGGAAACCTTACTTATTCTTTTTTTTTTCTTTCTTACGAGATGGAGTCTGGCTCTGTCACCAGGCTGGAGTGCAGTGGTGCGATCTTGGCTCACTGCAACCTCCGCCTCCCAGGTTCAAGTGATTCTCCTGCCTCCGCTTCCTGAATAGGGACTACAGGCACGCGCCACCACGCCCAGCTAATTTTTGTATTTTTTTAATAGAGACAGGGTTTCACTATGTTGGCCAGGATGGTCTCAATCTCCTGACCGTGTGATCTGCCCGCCTCGGCCTCCCAAAGTGCTGGGATTACAGGCGTGAGCCACTGCGTCCAGCCTTATTCTTATTTTTAGCCTTATTTTTTTTGAGATGGAGTTTTAGTCTTGTTGCCCAGGCTGGAGAATGTCGTGATCTCGGCTCACTGCAACCTCCGCCTCCTGGGTTCAAGAGATTCTTCTGCCGCAGCCTCCTGAGTAACTGGATTACAGGCATGCATCACTACACCTGGCTAATTTTGTATTTTTAGTAGAGATGGGGTTTCTCCATGTTGGTCAGGCTGGTCTTGAACTCCTGACCTCAGGTGATCGCCCGCCTCGGCCTCCCAAAGTGCTAGGATTACAGGCGTGAGCCACCGCGCCCAGCCTAATTTTGTGTTTTTAGTAGAGACGGGGTTTCTCCATGTTGGTCAGGCTGGTCTCGAACTCCCAACCTCAGGTGATTTTAGAAAATCCTTCCTGGAATTTTCCCAAAGTGCTGGGATTGCAGGTGTGAGCCACTGCTCCTAGCCCCTTATTCTTTTATTACATCTCAACAAATGGAATAGCCAATTAGGCAAAATTAGAAACAGATTCAGCTGAGAAAAACATTAGTACAAGATTACTAACTGGAGCCCTTTCCCTAGATACTGTTACTTATAAATTGTAGGTATATGGTACGCTAGAAAGAAGAAGGGGTCCTAATATTCTTGACCTGATTATTTGAGTGAAGTGATTAAAATTTACTAGTGTGTTTAGCTAAGGGTTCTGATGATCCTTCTTCCTTCTGAATTAAGCACTTAATTGTCCTACTGTTCTTCCAAAGAAATACTTAAGTGAGATACCTTGAGGAGGTGGTAAAGCTAAGGAAGTGGATTGCTGAGTAAAATGTCCTGGATTCCAATCCTCATATTATTTGTGAAATTTTGGGCGAGTCACTTAATCTCTCCAAGACTCATTTCGTATCTATGGAATGAATTTAATTATAGTGACTACTCCATGGGATTATTATAAGAAGTAAATGATGCCAGGTACAGTGGCTCACACCTGTAATCCCAACACTTTGGAAGACTGAGGCAAGAGGATTGATTTGAGCCCAGGAGTTCAAGACTAGCCTGGGAAACATAGTGAGACCCCCTCTCTGCAAAAATGAAAATAAAGTAGTAAATGAGCCTGGGTGCGGTGGCTCATGCCTGTAATCCCAACACTGGGAGGCTGAGGTGGGTGGATCACCTGAGGTCAGGAGTTCGAGACCAGCCTGGCTAACATGGCGAAACCCCATCTCTACTGAAAATACAAAAATTAGCCAGGCGTGGTGGCGTGCACCTGTAGTTCCAGCTACTCAGGAGGCTGAGGCAGGAGAATTGCTTGAACCTGGAAGGCGGAGGTTGTATTGAGCCAAGATGGCACCACTGCACTCCAGCCTGGGTGACACAGCGAGACTCTGTCTCAGGGGGGAAAAAAAAAAGTAGTAAATGAGATACTGCATGTAAAGAACTACACACAGTACCTGGTACATACTAAGCACTCATATGTTAATGGCTATAGTGTTATTATTTTAATTTATTATTATTGAGGACAAGAATACTTCTTTTTTTCTTTGAACCTGGCTTAATGTTTTTATAATAGTTTAGAGTACATTAAAGGTACCCATTGTGGATTTGCTGGTGGTCATAATGAGAAAGGCAGAAAAACTGTGGAGGCAGTAGTTTATTCTAGTAATACACTGTGATTAAATGATAACTTGTATAGGATTCTTAATTGCTTTGTAACCGTCATTCTTTCTTAGGTCCCTTCCTACTCACTAGAAAGCAGATGCAGCAAAAGGGAGAAAATGAACATCTTTCTCAAGCTGAAAGAGTTAAAGAAAGACCAAGACAGTACTCATGCCTGCTGTGTTCAGACAGGTGGACTAGTTAAATTGAGCACAGAAAGCTGGATAGCTGCTCTGCTTTTAATTTGTACAGGTGGCTGCTGTGGCCACAGGGACAAAGGCAACTCCTTAGTTGGGGTTGAGAGTAGATACATGGAAAAATTCCTGTGTTTCTGTAGGTCTTTTGGTGTAACCTTTGCTTTTGACCCTGTAGTTTTGGGACACCCAGAGAGACAGCCTGCCTATGGACTGTAGGAATATAATTTCCTTGGGGTTTAAAAACAAATCCAGCTCAGAAACACCACACAGACGTTCTTTAAAAGTTGGTTTGAGGCCGGGTGCGGTGGCTCACACCTGTATTCCCAGCACTTTGGGAGGCTAAGGCGGGCAGATCACCTGAGGTTGGGAGTTCGAGACCAGCCTGACCAACATGGAAAAACCCCGTCTCAACTAAAAATACAAAATTGGCCGGGCGAGGTGGCGCATGCCTATAGTCCAGCTACTTGGGAGGCACAGGTTGCAGTTAGCTGAGATTGTGCCACTGCACTCCAGCCTAGGTAACAAAGTAAGACACTGTCTCAAAAAAAAAAAAAAAAAAAAAAAGGTGGTTTGTTTGAACTCTTTTGAGACGGAGTCCCGCTCTGTCACCCAGGATGGACTGCAATGGCATGATCTCAGCTCGCTGTAACCTCCGCCTCCTGGGTTCAAGCTGTTTTCCTGCCTCAGCCTCCCAAGTAGCTGAGATTACAGGCACCTGCTGCCATACCTGGCCAATTTTTGTATGTTTATTAAAGACAGGTTTCACCATGTTGGCCAGGCTGGTCTCCAACTCCTGACCTCAAGTGATCTGCCTGCCTTGGCCTCCCAAAGTGCTGGAATTACAGGTGTGAGCCACCGTGCCCTTGTTTGAACTCTTCTGATCTGTCCTTCTGTTGGGTTAACTTATATAAATAAAGTCAAAGAAACTGTCCTGCTCTTTAATGAGGATGGGTACATCTGTAGGGAGTAGAGGGTCTCTTGAGATTATGAGAGAATGAGATCTTTGTATATATGTGCCAAAGTTTAGAAAATCCTTCCTGGGGGAAAGACACCTGAGGAGCCTACCTGATTTCAGATGTTTTCTAATCCTGAGGCTGAGCTTCTGATGACTGGTGATAAAATGTGAGGGGAAGGTGGAGAAAGAAAATAACTGTTAAAGTGGGCTAAATAAAGTGGTAGGGTTTAGGTTCTGATAGGAAAATATATAGACTCTTATACTGAACAGTGTTGGACATCAATGATGTCCAACACCTAGGATAATGGCCAGCTCCAACTCATGGTAAACTGAAATATTCTCTTATTCCCAGGCAGACATCATGAGTTTCACAGATGCTTAGAAAATGTCCACAGCATTTCTCTTAAAGAGTTGACTGTGACTGTCACCTTGATTGACCTGTTTTAAGAATCATTTCAAAGAAGCCTTCTATGGCTTTGCTGGGTGTTTCAAACAAATAAGTTTTTCAGAAATACCACTCTGGTCCTCTTCCCCTTTCTTTCCTTGGTAACGTGTAAGCAGTGTTCAACAAGTAGTTTGGGTACCTTCTAACTAGGTGTTACTAGGTGTAACTGGGTGTTACTCAGTGAAACCTTAGTTTTCCATATCCCTCAACTGCCAAAATTACTTGAGCATAGAAATTTGTTTTATGGGTGTTTCTTACTGTTTATTTTATTTATTTATTTATTTATTTTGAGACAGAGTCTTGCTCTGTCACCCAGGCTGGAGTGCAGTGGTGCAATTTCAGCTTAGTGCAACCTCTGCTTCCCAGGTTCAAGCAGTTCTCTGCCTTAGCCTCCCTAGTAGTTGAGATTACAGGCAGCTGCCACCTCACCCGGCTAATTTTTTTGTATTTTTAGCAGAAATGGGGTTTCACCATCTTGGCCAGGCTGGTGTTGACCTCCGGATCCACCCGCCTCAGCCTCCCAAAGTGCTGGGATTACAGGCATGGGCCACCATGCCCAACCTCTTACTGTTTATTTACTCTACTTGTCTATGAGTATTGAGGCCCTGCCTAAAATTAAGTTTTTAGTCATTATAGGTACAATATAGTATATGCTAGCTTATTCAGTTTCTTATGTATCTTATCTCTTTATGTGATCCTTAGTTCTTGGTGCAAGGTTGGTTAGCACCTTGTGACCAATAAGTTATCATTTCATTCCCATTTACTTGGTGAATGGAGGCTAGTTTGTTTCAATTCTTTCCTTTGTCCCTGAACAGTCTGAAGATGATGAGAAACTGAAAAAGAGGAAGGAGCGATTTGGGATTGTCACAAGTTCAGCTGGAACTGGAACCACAGAGGATACAGAGGTAAAAATATACCTGGAATGCTTCATAGACCTTGAAGGGAAATTAGAGTGAATAAACTGAATGGAGAAATATTGTTTCCCCACCTATTTATTTATTTATTTATTTATTTATTTACTTACTTATTTAAGTAGAGATGGGGTCTCTGTTACTCAGGAAGTGAGTGAATAAACTGAGTAGAGAAACACTGTTTTCCCACCTACTTCGTATGTATGTATGTATGTATGTATGTATGTATGTATGTAGAGATTGGGTCTCATTCTGTTGCTCAGGCTGGTCTCAAACTCCTGAACTCAAGCGATCCTCCGCACTCAGCTCCCAAATTGTTGGGATTATTATAGGCATGAGCCACTATGTCTGGCCACCCACCTACTTCTTAAGTGCCCAAATATTTTGCCTTTTTCTTGATAAATTTTTTTCTGGATGAAGTGGCAACACTGAATTCCATCAATATACTTAATTCAGTGTTAGAGTCTATTAGACTAGTGGCAAAGAGTATAACGTTTGGAATCAGGTAGGCTTGGATTTTAAAAGTGGCTCTGGGCTGGGTGTGGTGGCTCATGCCTATAATCCTAGTATTTTGGGAGGCTGAGGCAGGCAGATCTCTTGAGCCCAGGAGTTCGAGACGAGCCTGGGCAACATGGAGAAACCCTGTCTCTACTAAGAATACAAAAATTAGCCAGGTATGGTGGCACACACCTGTAGTCCCAGCTACTCAGGAGGTTGAGATGGTTGAGCCCAGGAGGTCAAGGCTGCAGTGAACCTGGATGTCGCCACTGTACTCCAGCCTGGGCAATAGAGTGAGACCCTGTCTCAAAAAAGAAAAAGGCAGCCAGGCACGGTGGCTCATGCCTGTAATCCTAGCACTTTGGGAGGCTGAGGTGGGCAGATTGAGGTCGGGAGTTCAAGATCAGCCTAGCCAACATGGTGAAACCCCATCTTTACTAAAAATACAAAAACTTAGCCGGGTGCAGTGGCGTGTGCCTGTAATCCCAGCTACTCTGGAGACTGAGACTTGAGAATCTCTTGAAATCGGGAGGCAGAGGTTGCAGTGAGCCAATATTATGCCACTGTACTCCAGCCTGGGCTACAGAGTGAGACTTGGTCTCAAAAAAAAAAAGAAAAAGAAAAAGGCTTTGCCACTTAGTATTAATAAGTTATAGTACTTCCTGAGCCTCAGTTTCATTATCCAGGAAGTGGAGATAATATATCTACCTCAAAGTGATATTTAAAGAATGAAACGATTCTGTGTAAAAAGGGATAGTTTTTAAATATTTAATAAGTACTGGTTGTGCCTAACTCCCTTCTGGAAAAGGACAATGGACTCAAATGAGATTTCCTGTTCTTGTCACTTTGTTTACAGATAGTTTCTCAAAATGAAAGAATCCCAGCACTTTAGGAGAGCAGTGTGGGAGGATCACTTGAGGTCAGGAGTTGGAAACCAGCCTGAGCAACATAGTGAGACCTCATCTCTACTAAAAGTTTTTTAAAAATTAGCTGGGTGTGGTGGCATGTGCCTGTAGTCCCAGCTACTCCAGAGGATGAGGTAGAGGTTGCAGTGAGCCCAGATTGCACCACTGCATTTCAGCCTAGGCAACAGAGAAAGAACGTCTCAAAAAAAAAAAAAAAAAAAAAAAATATATATATATATATATATATATATATGGCTGTTCTTGCATTGCTATAAAGGAGAAATACATGAGACCGGGAAGCATGGTGCTGGCATCTGCTTGGCTTCTGGGGAGGCCTCAGGAAGCTTACAATCATGGTGGAAGAAATGGCCATATCTTACAAAAACTTACTATCTTGAGGACTGTACCAACAGGATGATGCTTTATGAAAAGTTTTTTTTTTTTTTTGAGACAGAGTCTTGCTCTGTCGTCTAGGCTGGAGTGTGGTGGCACAATCTCAGCTTACTGCAACCTCCGCCTCCCGGGTTCAAGTGATTCTTCTGCCTCAGCCTCCTGAGTATCTGGCATTACAGGCGCGTACCACCACACCTGGCTAATTTTTGTGTTTTTCGTAGAGACGGGGTTTCGCCATGTTGGTCAGGCTGGCCTCAAACTCCTGACCTCATGATCTGCCTGTCTCGGCCTCTCAAAGTTCTGGGATTACAGGCGTGAGCCACTGCGCCCGGCCTATGAAAAGCTTCTTTATGAATAAGTATCAGAGTTAGTCTTGTAAATTAAACCCTGAAAATTTTAGAATCAGATCAGTTAGCACTGTTCACTAGAAAAAAGCCAGAGGAGTTTGTATTCTGTGAGGGGCAGTGGTTGGGAGTGCCCATGAAGGACTTGGTGCTGTTCTGTGAGTCACTTCCAGAACTAGAAGTCTTCCCTCACCATTTTGTGTCCTCTCCAGTGTTGCTGCCTCCTTTAAGAGATCTGTGATAGGGACTCACCCACATACCACTCACTCCCTGTTCCTTCTGTTGGCATCAAAGATTTATATGCCTTTTTTGTGAGTTGGAGTCCTAAGGAATAGCTACTGTCTGGGCCTGACTGCTCAGAAGGGCATCTCCTTCACCTCTGTGAATAGCATTTCTTAATGCTTTATCCTCTGAAATCTTCCATCTCCCCATTGACTGGAAGGCTTTCCCCAGCCTGTTAAGAGCCTGTTGTTTCCAGGCTAGCTGATCTCAGGCTGAGTGGTCCTCCTTCAGGAATCTTCCCATTTTCTACCACTGTTCTCTCTCTTCCTCGACCCCAATAATCTTTACTCCTCACCCTCCTTAGCCACTAAACTTTCTCAGCTCCTCCTGGTTAACTGGAAAGATTGGAGAAATTCAGGAATGAAATCTCTAGCTGCCAAGCTCAAGTCTGGGCGATCCTTCCTTCTCGGGCCTTGTGACAGTTCATGTGAGTTTGGGTTGAAGCGGCCAGGAACCCAGGCAACTATTGTCTTCAGTCTAATTTTTTTCTTCTTGCTGCTTCTTTACAGGCAAAGAAGAGGAAAAGAGCAGAGCGCTTTGGGATTGCCTGATGAAAAGTTCTTGATACTATCTGTTCTCCAGTGTTTTCCATTTCTCTCATTCTTCTTGGTCACATATATGCCTAAATGCACAGTCATGTGCCTACGTCCTGCCTCGCAATGAGGGAGCATGTACCCCAGGTACATCCGTGAACTGCGGCAGCAGTTTGACTTATTGCTGTTTCAGCTTTAAGGTTGTTGTGTTTTTGTTTTTGATTATGTTGCTCGTTAATAAAAAAAAAAAAAAAAAAATAGAAAAGAGAACAATGTGTTTTATTAGGTGCTCCTTTGATTTATTGGAGCCAGATTAGACCAGCTAAGAGGAGCTTCAAGGGCAAATATTATAGAGAGAGAATTGGCCATAACATCTTTATCCCTTAGAAGAGAAGACGAGGAAAAAGATTGAGTTTACCCTTTAAGCCTATTTATTCCCTTCTCTCATACTCACAAGCATTTTTTATCCTCTGTGAAGAGGTTAAGTTACCCACCCACCAAGTCTTTGCTCCAGCAGCTTGTAGTGACCCGCTGAAATAAAACAGAACATGGGAGGTTTTAGGTGTTGCAAAGGACATAAATACAAGGGCAGTGATTAGCAGCCTTCTGTTCCGAGCTAATAATGCTGACTTTTTCTTGGATAAAATGGAGTCCAGGGTCCCACATTAGAGGAAAAGGGCCCTCATTTCAAGGCTGGCCTGGCATGATACTGTGTTGGTCAGTCAGTTCAGGAAGGGAGATGGGCTAGATATCCCTCAGAGATAGAAGAAATTTTGTATGCGGAATCAAAGCATGACAGAGGATGTCAGAGCTGTTACACATTGTTAGCTAAGTCATTGGGAACATAAGCAGTGGAACTGGAGGCTTCAAGTTCATGTAGGTCTGAAACCTCCTACTTAATCTTTTTGTATATGTTAGTGCAGAGTTTCTCCTCTTAATCTTTATGTAAGCTTGGTTTTTGTTTGAGTTATTTTTGGTAATAAGATTTAGGAGCCTGGCACCTTACCTGAAAACTTTGGTACTATGATCAGATCCCATGTTGCTGTGGTATAATCCTTTATCCTTATTTCTACTAAAACCTGCCTGGTTTTGTGCTTAATGAAATGGTAATGGTTTGATCACCTTTCTAATGTCAAGAATCTCTTTATTTCTCTATAGTCTCTGGTCGGTGAGGAAGGCAGGGACCTAAAGCTTAGATACTTTAGGAAAATTGTGCCTCAGAGAGCAGATCCAAAAACTGCTGCCCATTTGTTGTGAAGTTTGCCCCATTCTGAGACTTTGGAGAAGTGAACAAAAGGGAATGCTGGTTAAATTTCTGACACCTCCTCATCCAAATAAACCTTACAATTGGAATGACCTTCCCCTTTTCCCTCTTTTCTGTCTGCCTCCCTTTTCTTTACCTCAGGCTCTGATCTTGGGGCTAGCTTTTCCTGTCTCTACTCTGTCTGCATCTGAAAACAGAATAGATCTTATTTGTAATTTGAGAGATCATAGATTCACTAATGGTTTCTACCTCAATGTGGTTTTAAAAAGAGAAAAATGCATGAGGGAATAGAGCAGATGCTGACTATGAAGTGGAACAGTGGATCTTTTGGAAGTTTTCTTCACTTTGTCTCTTTATCCTCTATAACCTTCCAGAAAGATATTCAGCCTTACTTGCCAGGATTCTCTTCTTGAAACCTAATTATTCTCCTCACTCATCTTCCCCCAGATCTTTGAACAGTGTTTTCCAATAGGTGAGGATATTTTTTTTCTTACTAACCTTTTTCTTCCCATTTCAGCAGCTGTTCCTGTGTTGGTCAGAAGTCTCTAACCTCCGAGCCAGATCAAATCCTCCCCTTCCTATCTCGTTATAATCATTCCCCACATACTCTTTGAACATGAATAGTTCAGGATGCCTTTTTCCCAATTCAGTTTTAAAACAGTAATTCCATTTGGAGATGGAACAGACATTGAGGCTTGTAATTGTTTACCTGAGATCTTAGTACCCTTCCTTCCTATCCCCCAGTTTCCCTACTGTAGCTGATCCAGCATCCAGATGTGGTTAACTGATTCCAATTCCTGAAGCTGTGACATTCTCTGCATACCTGGAAGCTCTTAATGAGGGAGTCTATAAAAGCTGTGGGGAGAACTAGTTTCCTCAGCTGTAAATCTGTACTTTTTTATGGTTCTCTAGGATTATTCTCTTTTTTTCCACTCTCACTCTAAACTGCCCAGCCCCTCACCCCATCTCTTAAGAACTGCTGAAGATAGAGGCTAGAAGCTTCTGTGAGGATGAGGGCTATAGGAAGGAAGGTGTGAATAAGGTCAGGACTTCTTGGTGTTGAGCTGAGTTTTCTTGCTGTGTCTGACATGAGGAGTGAGGGAGGAGCTTAAGGGAGGATAACTTTTTTGCTGTTCTCTTATATGATTATTGGAATCCCCCCAAAATTTAACCTCCCCTTCTCTTGCCATATCTAGGCTTTTCTTGTTTTTTCCCTCCAAAGGGATTGACAATTACAGATTTCACATCTTTCCAGATTCTTTGAGCCCAAGGTATCCCCAACTTTCTTGTTATCTCTTTCCCTTATGTTGTTCCTGTATTTAGGTTTCTACCTCCTGGATCACTTTTAATAGGATAGATTAGAATGTAATATTGTTTAGCAACTACTTAGGTTTAATTTCTTGTTCTGCCACACTAGCTCTGAGACCTTGGGCAGATAATCATTCTCTTTTCAGACTGTACCAAAAGGAACCCCATTGTGAAGGTTGCTGTGTGAATGAAGTGATATTCTCATATCATGTATTCACACTACAATTTGATTACCATAATTTACATAGTAATCATTTAATAAATATTAGCTCTTAATCTTACTGGGTGTCAGGGTACTATGGAAATACATATTTCTTTCCGAGTAGGTTCTAGCTAGGTGTGAGTGCCCTAGTTTGAACATGTTTGTGTGTGCATACACCCAGTTAGCAGTTGTATTTGGAGAAAAAAGGCAGAAAGAGTCCCATTCACTCCCTCAACCCCAGCTCACTGGCAGGAAAGCTGGACATTGTTGCTTTGGAGCATTGACTTTCCTGCTTCTGCTCCACTATAGACCAGAAGCTGTAAATGCCACTGCCTGCTGATTCTTAGCTTGGGGCCCCTGCCATTTAAAATATGGGCAAAGTCAGAGTATAGGATAGCTTCTCATGCCCTTAGTTGGAGGATGTTTTAAGATAAAGAAGAAAAGACTTGTAAAAAGTCATCTTGAGTGGTCTCTTTTGGGTGTTCTCTCAGTATAGGAAACAAGTGAGCCACGGGGAGAGAAAACCCATTTTCAGCTCAGGACAAAGTTAGGGGTAGATGTGGATATAGTTCCCTTGGGAAGATAGAATACATAACACTTCTGCTACTCAACCAGTTCCAGCCTCAGTCTTGTAGTTGGTCTCTGGTAGGGTCAATGTGCTGATAGAACTGATAAGACAGGGAAAGCATGGCAGTACACTGAACCCTCAGTAGCCCTGTCCCCAATTCTGGATCAGGTTGATGTCACAAGAGCTTTCCTTATTTTTATTTTACTTTTTTTTTAGAGACAGTGTCTTACTATGTTGCTCAGCTTGGAGTACAGTGGCTATTTACAGGTCCAGTCATACCACACTGCAGCCCTGACCCTCTGGCCTCAAGTGGTCCTCCTGCCTAACCTCCTGAATAGCTGGAACTACAGGAGCACACCACTGGGTCCTGCTTTCCTTATTTTTTAAAAATGTGAGTCAGGCAGTATTCTTTTGCCATTCCCAATTCATATGCCCGGGGAATTGTGCTCTAGTTACATGGGAAAAAATTTTACAGTGAACTGAAAGAATATTTGAGATGCTATTTTAGCCACTCTTGTGTAACAAGGCAAGTTGGATGGCTATGTTGGTTTACAGATTTTTGTCAAACTTCGTTGAGGAAACCTAGGAACAGGGACTGCAGGAGAATAGGACACTAGCTGGATCATCTCAAGAGAATCTTTAGATCTTCCATTCTGTGGAGGCTGGGAGAGGGGTTTTGTAGTCTTTGGGACTGTTTTGGCTCAAGCTTTTCAGAGGGGTTGTTCTAGCTGCCCCCAGTTTCCTGTCCTCTTCCCATCCTTCCTTGGCCTGCATGTCCCAAACCTCATACCACCATGCCCTTAGTGTTTTCTGTCTTGCTCCAGGACCCCATCTTCTTAGTCATTGAATACGAGGTTTCCTGTCTCAGATCCTCTTCACCTCTGGTTCTCCAAGGTGTAAATGTGGCACTTGATTAGGGAGAAGAGCTCAGCACTGAATTCTAAACTCTTTGACTGCTTTTATTTTTTTTTTCAGGTTCAAGTGCTGGATTGTGTCATGTGACCATCCCAAAACTCAGAGCACCCTATGGCCATCTTTGCCCTCTGTCACATAACTTGAAAACTGCCTGATGGCCTTTTTGCAGTGGTTCCCTCCAGGAAGCCTTGATCTCAGTTGAAGAAGTTCTTTCCCGGCATTCCAGTGCCCCTGTCAGCTCCATACTCCTCAGACACCCTTAACAAAGGCTGTCATGCACACAATGTAACAAATACACAAAATAAATGATAATTACACTAATAATGATATGTTCAGAGGGGCACTGGCCAGGTCCACACATATCATAGGTGGGAGGGGGTGCTAACTCCCACTGGGTTGCTGAGCTGTCCCCCAAGCCCCTTTACTCCATGCCTCTTTGGGGGTAGGGAGGAACAGGGGAATGAGAGTTCAGCTCACAGATTTATGTTCATAAGAGAAAGACCCCTGCCCTCGCCACCACACACACAAACAAAGGTCTTTATTTGGTGGTATTAAAGGGGCAGTATTCTAAGTGTCCCCCATATTTAATGGCCCAGCTCTCTAGATAATCTGTAGAAGGAAGATATACCTGATGCTTACTGCCCAATCCCTACTCTTCGAAGATCAAGAGGCATTTGACCTTGGAGGGAGATATCATCTGTTCTTCACTTCTCTGTTCCTTTCCTTCCACCAAGGAAATGTGAGTGGTGTTGATGGCCGGGTGTGTCTTGTTCTCCAGGATTGGGGCAGAAGGAAGGATGAAGAACAGGGCCAGAGAGGCTTCGGGTTAGCATAGCTGCTATATGGGTGAAGGCAAGCTGAAGAGCCTAACAGCCCCTGCCCATTCCTCTACTGAAACACCTTGTTTCACTTTCTCACTATAAGAATAGGAATAAGATGTTAAAGCTCACCAACATCACCTTCTCAAGGGTGGTCACATACCTTTGCCCCTTCCACCAACTGGCCAAGAGGGAGAGTCATGCTCTTGGGAAGAATGAGCCATCCAGGTTTGCTCACCAGCTTGGGCTTTACTTTAGTTCAGTACTGTTTTTATCAGACCCGTAACTGCTGGCTCTACTTAGAGTGACAGTTTTGCTGAAGGTTCTTACCCCACCTCTCCTGACATCCTCTAAGCTCTTGCCTGGAGCCAAGAGGCGTGGTGGTGAAGTAAGGATAGGGTGTGGATCAGGAGATTCTCAACTTGGCTTCTAGGCACTGTCCAGCTGGGAGGCAGAGGGGAACTTGTACTCTGAAGCCTGTGACTCCTCTTAAGCCTCACATCTCTTCACCACTACTCTGGTGCCCTGGTTATCTGTCCCACAGCGAGAGGTATTTTATGTCCATAAAGTGCCCGTGGTAAGTGCTCAGAATTCATCTCTTGGCTGTGGCGGGTGCTGTCATTTCTCATTCCATTGAGGGGAAGAAACTGAGGCACAGCGAGTCCAGAGGAGAATGGGTCAGGGTTGTGGGAGGAATTAATGGGCCTAGCTAGTAACTTGAAATGGCAACCAGTCTCTGCCTGCTTCCTAGCCTTCCAAACCCAGGAGTCTCCATCCTTCCCATCCTCTGTTCTAACTGGCCTTGTCAGATGCTTTTCCCCACTGTACTTTTCCCTCCCTGCTGCCAGGTACTGTTAGATTCCAAAAATAAAAGGAAAATAATTATACACTCTGCTTCCTTGTTCTCCCCTCTTCCACCCTGAGCTTTGGGGTTAGGGGACTAAAATATCCCCCTTCCAGAATCCCTCCCACCTTGGTCTGCTGGCTTTATTCCCTAGCCCAGAGCAGTGATTTGGATTCAAATGCCCTGTAACCTTCAGCCTCCTTACTGCTCCTTTCTTGACCTCTCCTAACGCTTTCCAGACCCAGGGGACTCTAGGGTCTCTATACTCTTTCTTATTGACCTGAAGATAGAGGCTGGGAGCAGGGCCATTCCAGAGGCTCTTTGGTCTCTCTCTTGGCTGAGGGAATTTGGGCTTAAGCAGGCTGCACCCTCTGGCTAAGTAACTCAGTATCATGAGGGTTGACCTGAGGGTTTAAAGTAGCTCTCATCATATAGATCCTGGATGTTGAGGGTTCTTTCTCCCACCCCTCTATCCCCAGCTCTTAAACCCTAACCTCTTACTATTTCCATGACAACTGGCTTAAATTCAACCCATTTGGCTCAGAAAAGGTTGAGTTAGGGTGATAATGGGTTAGAAACTAAACTTCATGTGTCGACCCTCTTGCCCTTTACTCCCATTCCCAACCCTGGAGGCTTTATACAAGTGCTTAAGTGGGTAGGTGTTGGGGAGAGCAGGGTTTGGGGAATAAGGGATAAATGGGGCACAGGGGGCAGGGGCCCTCCTATTCCAGTAAAGCCAAATACCAAAAAAAATGAAAAGTCACAATAAATAAATAAATAAAAATTCCCAAATCCTTTTGTCCCTGCCCTCACTTCCCTTCCCCTAGCCACTGTGGAGGGAGAGAAGGGAAAAAGAACGGATTTTTGATTTCTTCTCCTACTGAGTAGTCAGGGGATCTCCCCAAACTATACCAAGCCCCTCACCTTGCCAGTGGAAGAAAGGAGGCTTGGTGTGGGGCTTTCATTTATTACTCCATTTCAGTCTCTTTCTCAGTGTTTTGTCTCTGCCTAATCTGTCTCTTCTGCCTCTCTCTCTTTGCCTTCTCACTGCTGCTCTTTTTGTTCCTCTGTCTCTATCCCTCTGTCTCTACATCTCTCTGTCTTTTTGTCAAACCTTCGCATCTGCAAACTTCAAACACTTCCCCACCCTGACTATGCCCCTCCTTCCCCTTTCCCCCAAACCCCTCACCCCTCAATTCCCACCTGCCTCCCTCTGTTGTATTGCACACTGCTTGGTCGGGGAACAGGGTGTGATGTTCATGGGAAGAGTGGAGGGAGCTCTAGGGCTTGGGGGAATGGGGGCAGGGCTGGGGGTCTTGGGGTAGGGTCTGTGGGGGAGGCATCCTCTATCCCCCACCTTAAGAGCAGCCACAGCGATCCACCACCATGCCAGGGATCTTGCCGTAGATAATCTGCTGCTTGTCATTGAAGTAGAGCATGTTGATTGGGGACATCTTGGTGGGGGTACAACAGGGCCCAGCAGAGCCTCTTGGATTGGCCTGCTGCACCAAATGGGTATGCGGATATTTTTGCATGAACATGTACTCGCACTGGCCGGAGCAGTAGTTGGCCTTGTAGCGCTTAGGTGCGATGATCCAGTCCCAGCCGAAAGCCTCAAAGTCCACTGTGAGGGGATATCGGCAGCAGCGGGACTCGCTTGAGTGCTCGTCGCAGTCCAGACCCAGGTTCCGCCGGGAACGTTTTGTGTTCTCTAGGACTCGAAGCTCCATGAATGGATGCTGAGGGTCAGGGAGAGGGGAAAGAAATGTGATACGGCCCTGAACAGTTCCTCTTCCCTGTTCCTTTCCCACCTGCCAGGGGCATCAGAATAGAGACCGCTGACTTCTCAGCTTTTCCATTGCTCCCACCCCCAGAATTTATCTTCTGCCCACTTTTCTTGCCAGCTAGCTAGCTCTCCTTCAACTCACCATCTCTAATTCTTACTCTTCTGGTAAACTGACCCCCGTCAGCCCCTTGGCCCAGTGCCTCAACAGCCAGTTTTTGTGTTCTCAGCTCTTCCATTAACTGACACCTTTACCTTCAAATCCAGTTTTCAGCTGTTGTCTGATTTGGATCCTTGAGAAGTAACAGTTGCCACCCCACTCCTTAGCTCCTCTAGAATGAGCTCCTGACCCTAGAGAAGTAATGCTAGACCCCAGTCTCCTTCACATTCCTTGTCTACCTTTTCCAATGTAACCCCATCTCCTCAGGGCCAGGTTACACATATCCACCACCTCAGGCCCCCTGCTCACCAGCCCCTCAGCTCCTGGCCCCAGGGAGGTGACAGCCAGGTCTGTGCCACTGGGATCAAAGGCGTTGATCTCGATGCCCCAGTTGCTCTGTGGCTGGCGGAACCAGCTGTGTAGCACTTGCTTGAAGTCGATGCTTTGCCAATGGCCTGAGCGTGAGTGCAGCTCAATCTTCAGTGAGCGGATACGGATGTGACGCCGGCCTCCGCCCCCTCCCCCTGCGGTCCCTTCCCCAGTTAGGGGTTTTAGTCGCAAAATCTGCAGGTAGACTGTGGCTGGGCGGGGTACAGGCCGTAGGTACACCCACAGCTGGGCCTTCAGTACCTTTGTGAACATCACCTTGGGGCTGAAGTGAAAATGGCAGCAGAGAGGGCTGCCATCTGTCTGTACTGCTGGGTCCGCTGATAAGAGAGAAGGGCACAGCATCAGCAAAGGGTGTTTGTGTAGGGCATCAGTAGTCCTGGGTGGCATTGGCAATCTGGACTTCTCAGCCTGACTTTTCCAATTCTTTACCCTTCTCCCATGCCTGTCTTATAACATGTCTCTGGTACCTAAAACAGCACTTCCTCTATAGGATGATGACCCTATAAGGCCTTACTGATACGTATTCATTTCCTAATCCACTTGCCCTAATATATAGATTCTCGTCTACCAAAATAACCTGCAAAATTATTCCTCCACCACCATCCTTACTAGCCTCCAACTTTTCCCAGCATGTAAGGCTCCAACATTTTCTGAATCTTTGAAGCTCTTTATAGAAGCCATACCTCCTATCACACCTGCTGCCCTTACGTCACCTTGCCCCCTATCTGCTCTGACTTATCTGCTGGGCAGGTAGAGCCTGGCACATCCCTCCCCCACAAAAAAAAAAAAAAACACAGATGGCCTCAGAGAGGGGATAACCCAGGGTCCAGATAGGGAGCATGAGCTAAATTTATCCCATTATGTAAACCAGAATTCAGATCTAGGCTTCTTGCCTCACTCCCATTAGGAATAACACCTAGCAAAATGGAACTATCCAAGCACTTCCTATACATCTGTCTCCCCATTCTCTCCTAAGAAGTTTCTTCAGCTGCTGCTTCATCATCATCACCATGACTGCTCCAGCTCTTGAGGAAAGGAATAATTACCTTCATGGTGTTGCCTCCTATTTGCCTAAAGCACCAGAAATAATATTAAATACACCAGATCAACTACAATGCCTTTTTTCTCCCCTGAGCTTCCTTTGGCTTCTCAGTCTAGTGCCGGTAGGTCATGACAAAGTTTTAACATCCCAACTTTACATTTTGACCCATTTCCCCTTGCTCTGGACCATAAATTGATCCTTCTTGGGTCTAATGAACGATTCTCAATAAATATCTGCCTCTGCTTCCATTCCAGCTCGTCTTCACTGCCTTTCCTAAGTCAGTTGGGAGTGCCCTACAATATGTCTCCATTGGACAGTATATGTCTATCCTCACTCTAGATAGGAAGAATCAGGAATGAGCTTCCAGAGCCATAGAAGCAGAGTCAGGAAGTCTGGGCCTTTAAGTATCCTCCCCATGTCTTGAGTTCTGCGAAATCAGGACGGACTTAGGATGTCCTGTCAGCTCTTCCCCACTCCCATCCTGGGAGAAAGGACCTTCTAAGTGAGATGAGGAGGAAAATGCTTAATGAACTTCATATATTCAGGGTATGATACCCAAAGTCTCTATAGCTTTTTTTTTTTTCTTGATTATTCTCTGAGGTCCCAGGGCCCTGGCAGTCCAGCTGTTTTACTGGCTGGAGCTTCAGTGATGGTGCAATGGAGTAGGGTTTGGGGAGTGAGAATTCAGAGATTAGAAGTAGGGGTAGGGAAGCTACTAGTGAGATGGGGAGTGACAAGCAACATCCCAAATAGCATACTCTACCTAATTTCAGCATAGGAATTGCCTATTTTCTTGCCATTAGGTACTAACCTCCATGAGAGTAGACACTATGTTATTCATACTGTGTCTGTTTTGCTCACCATTGTAGCTTTAGTGCCTCCCATAGTGGCAGACAGCACTCAGTAAATACACAGTCAATGAACTCCCTAAACTCCCAATCTTAAATTATACAGGCAAGTGCCTGAAAGTTCTTCCTGGCATCTAAATTCTGTTCTTTGACTATAATTGAAGTGGGTTTAATCACTGCCTGATTCCTTACTAACCACTGTATAACTTTACCAAACTTCTCAGTGTGATACAGATAATTCTTGCTTCACATGAGTGCTAAGCATTAACTAGAGAATGTGAAAATAGAAAACGGACAAACCAACATTTATTGAGAAGCTACTACTATTTTCACATTCTCTACTAAGCTCTAAACATAACCCTCCCTCTACCTAAGCTGATCCAGGGTTTGAAGATGAGGGTTACATCTAAGTCTTTGGTTCCATGTACTTGTCCCCCAGTGGACAGGGGACAGTCAGTGCTACAAGGAGGTAGGGCGTAGGGAAAAAGAAAAGAGCAGAGAGAAGAGCCAGGGGAGAGACTGGAGATGGTGAGGGAGATGAGTTAAGAGTTGAAGGCAGATGAGTAGATATAGGGAGAGAAATAGAGGCTAGAGTGGAAAAATGCAGGGGATAATCATGGCAAAGGGAGAATAAGTTTGGGAGTTTGAGAATCCTGATGCGGGGGCAGTGATAGAAAGGAGTGGGTGATGGTTAGAAAGCTAAAGGTGGGAGGAAGCTAAACCTAGTGGGGTAAAGGAGAGAAAGGATAGAAAGGGTACAGACGGAGGAACAAAGGAGAAGCAGGTAGAGCCACAGAGGGAAACGGGGCTCGAGAGAGTCCCCAACACACATATGCCGAGCTCTGATGGGGAGGAAAAGGGGCCACATCTGTGTTGAATTGATCGGGCTGGTGGCAGGCAGCAGGTCAGGTTTAGTAGGCGGCGCTGGTGGGAGAGAGAGGTCACTGCACTATTTTCAGCAAATGCCCAACCCCCTCCCTGCACACCACCTCCCCTTCCCCCCACCCTAACCCCCCCAACACACACACTCCCAACCATGGCTGGAAGGCCTAAGGGCAGGAGGTTGGGCTGAGAGGGCAGGGGCCTCTTGGTGTGGGGAGGAGAGAAACTCAGGGGCTGGGCTTGGCTCCCAGAAGGGCAGGGGGCTGGGTTCCCAGGATGAAGGCTCGGTGGGAGAGCCTGAGAGGGTAGAGGGAACTAGGGCAGGCAGAGCAGCCTAGGAGAGGTGGGGGCTGGGGTCCAGGGTTGAGGGCTGGGGGAGGGGAGGGAGGGGGAGGGGAACGGAGGCCATCTCTGCTGACAAACACCTCCCCCGATTAGCAGAGCACAAGTCTCTTATTAAAGCGGGTCCCTGGGGATTAGACTATAAAAGTCTCTTTTTCCTTTTCCCCTCTCTCCCTCCCCTCCCCTCCCCTCCCCTCCACTCCCCCTCCCTCTCTTAAGAGCTCAGCTAGGCTCTTAAAGGGGACGTACAATACCTGGCCGGAGACCCAGTTCCCTACTTGCACAAGTCCTGGGGTGGCACCAGAGTGGAAGTTGGGATGGGATCCCACCAGCTAGTGTCCCCTCACCACCCACCCAGGCCTCCCTGCATAGCCCAACTCATGTAGGCAGGGTCCCTTCACTTCGTGTATTCCCATTGCCAGAGCTAACTCTGGTGGGCTCGGGCCTGTTGGTTAAGGGATGCTAAGGATATTTAGGGGCAAGGGGAAGTCCACAGCCCCATCACCCATCCTGGAAATCTTCACACACACTACACCACATAGACTAGAGTATCTTTTCCCTCTGTAACCTTCATCTTCCAGCAAACTCTTGATCTGAATTCCTCTATAACTCTGTTTCCTAGAAACCCCACCCCCTACCCTCAGTCGATCTGAGACTGATCCTACTAGCTTCCATAAGCAGAAGCCTTAAGAATAGAAGGGAAACTGAGGAACCCGAGACCAGATCCCCATGCCTCCCACCCCCACAGCCAGTTAGTTTCCTGGTTCTTTGAGCTTAACAGCCCCGACCAAGTATTGTGGAATTGAGGTCTGCAGAAATACCAGGGGCAGTGTGAGGCACTCAGCCTCCCAGATGCACACCTGGGTTCCTGTGCCTCTCCCATGGGGGTGGGCCACTGGGACTCCCCTCAGCCCCCAGCTTTTTATGACCCATCTGCCAATAAACCAGTCTCCCCCGTCTTCTGTTCACAGCCATAAAACCAAACTCTGTGTGTGTTGCAGGGGGCTGTGGGAAGGGGGGAACCTTGCCAAACCACTAGGGAATAAGAGAGGCCTGGTTCCCTGCAGTTGGGGAGGGGGGGAGACCTCAGTGGGGGAGGAGGAGAAGGAGTCACCTGACCCTAGGGAGAGCTGGAAAGGGGGGGGGGGTGTAGTATTCGCCTGGATTTTCCAGGTCATAAAATTTCAAAGCTGCTCATGTCTATTATATGTGTTCATCTTCCGTTTGGTCAGGGGCTCGGATGCCTGGGTTCCCGCTCCCCCATCTATTTCTTTCTCTTTTTTCCTAGGTCTTCCTCTCTCTCAAGTCCAGCTGCGGTAGGGGCGGGCAAATAAGGGATGGAACACTAAGGTTTGAGTAGCCAATGAGTGTCCTTAGCCCCCAGCGCAATGGAGTTGAGTTCTCTGAGCTCGGTCAGTATCAAGAAGGCACAGCTTTTCCACCCCTTCGGATACCCGGTCTGAGACAAGGCTCAGGATGGAAAGGGTGCCAGCTGGGTTGCCAGGAGGTGTACAGGGCTCTGGGACCCTATTCTTGGGAGAGAGCACACAGTTCTCTGCAGCCGAGTGGGCACGTTGCGAACGGAGCATGGAGTGGGGAGTTAGCGCCAGGGCCACTGGGAGGCAGGGAGCACTGCAGTCCAGCTGGAGCTGCGGGGGTCCTGCAGCCTCCCGATTCTGTTCTCCAGTCTCCCCGCCACGGCTCTTCAGGACAGAGTCGCTGCCCAGCCCCAGCTTCCCCGGACTCCAACAACGGTCTTTTTCGCATACTGGGGGTGGAAGGCAGTATCTCGAAACCCGCCCCATTTCCCCCCGCCCCAACCTCCGGAAACTGGGCGTGCATACAACTTTGCAGCCCATCTCCATCGCTCGAAAAACTTCTATGAAGTAGCCCCCGCTCCCTAATTCGTCAAGTTTTCGCAGAAAAAGCTTCCGGGCCGGGGCAGCAGGGAGCGCCCCGCTTGGAGCAGAAGGCGCCCATCGCGGGGCCAGAGCCAGCACCCCACTGCTCGCGCCCCGCAGCCCACTTACTCTCCTGGGCCATGCTAATGACGGTCTCGGTGGTGGCGTGGTACTCGTCCTCCTCCAGGAAGTCCTCGGGCTGCAGCGCGTCGCCCTGGAAGTCGTGTAGGTCCAGGATCTGCTGCAGCGGCGGCGCCTTGGGCAGCAGCTGCTTCACCACCTCGCGGCTGATGTTGGGCGCCTCCTTGAGCCGCAGTTTGCTCAAGATCTGCGACTTGATGCTCTCTAGGCGCAGCTCGCGGCTGTGCTGCCGCCACACGCACACGGGGCAGCCGTCCGGCTCGGGCGCCACGGACGGGGCTGGCCGGCTAGAGCGCTCCCCCCCGACCCCCGCCGCTGCCGCCGCCGCCGCCGCCGCCGCCGCCGCGGGGCCCTCGGCCGCCTCCCCCCGGGGCCGCAGCTCCAGGGCGAGGAGCAGGAAGCCCAGCAGCAGCGGGGCCGCGAGCACCATGCTGGAGGGGAGGGGAGGGAGGACTGGGGGGCGGGGACGCCGGAGTCCCGCGGGGAGGGGGCGGAGGGAGGAGGGAGGGAGGAGGAGGGGGTCCGGGCGGCGCGGGATTGGGGGCTGCCCGGCCGAGGGGGGACCCGGGGGGCCGGGGGCGGCGGGCGCGCGGGCGGGGCGGGCGGGCGGCCGGGGCGGGCGGCTGGGGGGGCCCGAGCCCGGGCCAGGCCCTTTATAGCCCCGGCCCCCGTGTCGTCAGCGGCCGCGATTGGCTGCGGAGCCAACAAAAGAGGCAGCGCTGTCATCCGAGGCGAGAGAGGGAGCCGGAGAGATCCGAGGAATAGAGAGAGGGAGGGAGTGAGGGAGCAAGGGCCAGAGAGAGATGAAGAGACAGAGATATGAGGGGGCGGGGGGGGCGGATATAGGGGAAAGTCAGAGCCAGAGAGACCAAGGAGAATCAGAGAGAAAAAGGAGGAAGAGACAGAGATAGGAAAAGGAGGAGGAGAGAGAGGGAGAGACAAAGGAGGAAAAGAAGAGTCAGGGGGAAGACACAGAGGTGAGAGACTTAGCTAGAGAGGGAAATAGTGTGTCTGTGGGAGACACAGAACCAAGAAGGAGAAAGATTGGGACAACTAGTGGGAGAGTTAGAGTGGAGACAAAAATGGGGAGAAGAGGGGTACCACTAGACAGGGGGAGACAGAGGTCTACAGAGCCAGACCACAAGAGATCGGGGGTCATGGAGATGGGAACAGGGGCAGAGGAACACAGGACAGAGGAGTGCCCTGGGAAAGAGAGGTGGGGAGAGAAATCAGGATTGGGGAGGAGAGAGAGGGGCACAGACAGGGAGATACCAAGGGAGCCCCTGAGGAGGTAGGTGCAGGGGATTGGGGGTGGGGGAGAGGAAAGGCAGAAACTCCTGAGAGAAGGAGCCACGAGAGTCAGCCTCGGTGGGAGCACGGAGAGCCCAGGGGACAGAGGTGGAGAACTTGAGACCAGAGGAGCTCTAGCCATCAGAGGTAGCCCAGAGAAGATGCTCAAGGAAGCCGTGGAAGGAAGCATCAGGCTAGGCTCATCAGAGGGATTAAGGGGACTAGGAGAGGAAGAGGTCAGGGACAACCTAAGAAGGTGGAAAGGTGATGGGAAAAACTGAAACAGAGGGAAGACATAGAGCTGGGAAGACTGTGAGCTTGAAACTGGGGCTTAACAGGACTAAGGGAGTCAGCCGGCTGGAAAAGGCAGGAGCTAGAGGCCACTGGGGGAGGGGTGGGAAGGAGATGGCTGGAGGCTGCTATACTTGGGGAGAAATCTGGATTTCTGGATTTCTAGCTATATCTTTGGATCTACAGGGTCTGAGAAGTCTGAGAAGGGGATGGAGGTTGCAAGGGTGAGCATGGGAGAGAAGTCTGCGCTCAGATGCACGAGATGAAATACAGATGTGGGACCAGCCCTAGTCTTCAGGTGTGACCCTGGACACAGCCAGAGAGCAGAGTAGAACAGTACTAAGGTGAAAAACTGTTTTGAAGGTGCTTAACTTCTGACTTCAGGTTTTCCAGGCTTATTTCTGGATCTGAAAGCCCTGGAGCAATAGTCAAATTGAAAATGTTTGGGTCACGCTGGGTACGGTGGCTCATGCCTGTAATCCCAGCACTTTGGGAGGCCGAGGCGGGTGGATCACGAGGTCAGGAGATCGAGACCATCCTGGCTAACACAGTGAAACACCGTCTTTCCTAAAAATACAAAAAATTAGCCGGGCGTGGTGGCGGGCGCCTGTAGTCCCAACTGCTGGGGAGGCTGAGGCAGGGGAATGGCGTGAACCGGGGAGGCGGACCTTGCAGTGAGCTGAGATGGCAGATGGCGCCACTGCATTCCAGCCTGGGCGACAGAGAGACACTCCGTCTCAAAAAAAAAAAAAAAAGAAAAAAGAAAATGTTTGAAGGAATCAGGTCTTGCCAATTTCCTGGCATCCACAATGTTTATTTAATAAATTGATGAACTTTATTATTGGGCTTCTCAGAATAGAGGGGCATTGGTTTCCTCTCTGGAATTAAAGCCCAATAAGATATCTTAAAGTTGGGCTGGCATAGGCATCAGGAGTACCAGACATAAGGATACAGTTGGGTTGAGGAACTGGAGTAGAATAAGGGAAGAAACTGGGGATCTGGGTATGAGGGGAGGAGGTTGGGTAGAGGTTAGGAGGACCAAGCTGGGCAAGCTGGGGAGCTTTGAAGAGACAATCCATTTCCATGGGCAACAGAAACTGAAACCAAAGCAGACTGGAATAAAAACTTAGACAGCTTGTTCCCTCCCTTGCTTTCAACCAAGACATGGGCATTTCAGTGTCTCATCAAGTTTCTTCATCTATAATATGGGGGTCACAATTCCTACCCTTAACTGGTTGTGAGGATTACATATGAGCAATTGATAGTGGCCTTCATGGGCTTCTTCTCTTTCATGATTCTTCCTTTCCTTTCTGATTTTCCAGAGCAGTGATTGCCTTTAGCACATATTCTAGCATATCCTATTTTCTAAAATGTTTCTCTGATGTCATTTCTTCAGCAAAATTGGAAAGGCTGTGAGAGCAAAGTTGGTGTCACCTTCTTCTCCTCCTCCCTTAGAGAAGGTAGTACAGACTTCACTTCCTCACCAAACATGTATCTAGCGGCAGGTGCAAAGATAAACGAGATGCAAAAGTAAGTAAGACTCAGCTCCTTTCCTCAGAGAACAAATAAACTAGAAAAGACACTAGGAAGGCTGGGCGCGGTGGGTCATGCCTGTAATCCCAACACTTTGGGAGGCTGAGGCAGGTGGATCACGTGAGGTCAGGAGTTCGAGACCAGGCTGGCCAACATGGTGAAACCCCGTCTTTACTAAAAATACAAAAATTAGTCAGGCATGGTGGTATGTGCCTGTAATCCCAGCTACTTAGGAGGCTGAGGTGTGAGAATCGCTTGAACCTGGAAGGTGGAGGTTGTGGTGAGCTGAGATCATGCTACTGCACTCCAGCCTGGGCAACAGAGTGAGACTCTGTCAAAAAAAAAAAGAAAGAAAGAAAGAAAGGAGGAAAGAAGGAAGGATGAAAAAGAAAGAAGAAAGAAAGAAAGAAAGAGAAAGAAAGAAAGAAAGAAAGAAAGAAAGAAAGAAAGAAAGAGAGAGAGAGAGAAAGAAAGAAAGAAAGAAAGAGAGAAAGAAAGAAAGAAAGAGAGAGAGAGAAAGAAAACAGGACCAGCCAGAACTCTAGGCCAGATGCCTCCTGGGTATCTCAATCTGGGTGTTTCAAGGCACTTCAAACATCACAGGTTAGAGAACTCCTCCTTTCTTTCTCCCTAAAATGTGTCCCTTCCTGCAGCTTTTCACTTTAGTGAATGACAATCATCCAGGCTAGAAACTTGAATGTTGTGTTTCACCCTTGTCCTCTTGATCATTTCTGAATCTTTGCACAGGTTGTTTCTTCTTCCTGGAACAACTCACCCGACTGCTTCCACTCCCTTCCACCCACCAATCTCTTGGCCAAGTTTACTCTTTCTTTAGGTCTCAGCATAGATCCCATCCAAGAATCCTTTCCTGACTTCAGGTATAGAGTAGCTGCTTCTTCCAGATATATCTGCACCATTCTGTGAGGTGTGGAGATTAATCACCTAGCTTCTAGACTAGAAGTAGGCTGGCTGGGCTCAAGTCCCAGCTCTCTTCCTTTCTGGTTGTGTGAATTTGGACAAGTTATTAAGCCTCTTTATACCTCAGATTCCTCACCTGTAAGGTGGGGATAATTGTGTGTGTGTATATATATATACACACACATAGAGAGAGAGAGAGAGGGAGAGGGAGAGATGGAGTGTTGCTTTGTCACCCAGGTTGGAGTGCAGTGGCGAGGTCTCGACTCACTGCAACCTCCACCTCCCAGGTTCAAGCGATTCACCTATCCTTAGCTGCCTGAATAGCTGGGATTACAGGCACATGCCACCATGCCTGGCTAATTTTTGTATTTTTATTAAAGACGGGGTTTCACCATGTTGGCCAGATTGGTCTTGAACTCCTGACCTCAAGCGATCTACCCGCCTCGCCTCCCGAAGTGCTGGGATTACAGGTGTGAGCCACTGTGCCTGGCCAAGGATAACAATATTGTACCTATTTCATAAGGTTATGAGGATTAAATGTCTGAAAAACTGTTCTAAATGCATTAGTTATTGCTGTTACTCCAACGTAGTAACCTGACCTTGGGAGACCAGAATGAGCAAGAACTTTTTCACCAAAGTATTCCTTAACAGTTTTGAATAAAGAATGAATGAGCCCTGCTAAATGAATTTGATAAGAGTTTGCGTAGGGGAAACAAAACAGTGTATTTGTATATATGAGGGATTATTGGTATCTGCCAAATACAGGGAATTAGAGTCAGGAACATTTAAGACAGAAAGGATTTATATCTCCTGATAGCCTCCTCAGTTTCCAAGACTAAACTTAATCCAATAAGAGGACAAGACTGCCATCTGATGGTAGAATCTGGAATATCAGCTCCTTGGAAGTGGAACTAAAACCATGGTTTGTTTTATTTTTGCATACGTTGTACATTTTCATTTTAGACATTTAGTTCGAAAAGTTCTATATCATAATGCATTAAGCCTTGTCCTTTCTCCAGTGCCTCCTAGATGTTGCCTCTTTCCTTGAGTTCCCTCAGGTATGGTCCTGTTGGGATCCCCTGAGTTTCAGGAACTAACCCCTGGGTGGTTTCTTTTAGGAGCTTCAGAACTCCAGCTGCCCCAGACTCCCTAAAAATGGGGCACTGGTGGCTTTACAGAAAAGAAATTTGGAGGGATCTGGACATTAGATCTTTCCTTATCCTAGTACATGCTAAGGTTTGGGGCCCCGCCCACTGTCCTAGTCTCCCTGGCAACTGTCTTCCTGCCAAGGGTGCCCCTCTCCCAGAGTTACCCAGGCAACCTTCAGGCCCGCCTTCTTCAAGGTCCTGACTGGTTCATAGCAAATGTGGGTCACAGCCTAAGGGAGGCATTTAGACTTAAAATGTATGAACTGCCAGGAGAGAAGGTGGCTGTGTTCCGCGGGGGTATATGAGGTTTCAGGACCTGCTAGAGAGAGAGGTGCTTGGGTAGATGGTCTGCTACATCCTCAGGAAGAGCTGCAGCTCCCTGG